TTAGGACTGTTAGAGCTGTTAGCTTAAAATTAGCTAGACATTAAATGCACATTAAATAACTATTATAGGCCTACAAGTCCTACTGTTGCCTATAGTATAATGCCACAATTTCCTAATTTCGACAACAGAAAAACTTTTCCCGATGTAGGTAGATATTAAGACCTATTATAAACTATTCTAGCTTAAAGGGAACTAGTCTAGCGCCTTAGAAGCCTCCTTAGATATTACTAGGAGTAAATAACTCCTTATAGGTGCCTATAAAGAATAGTAGGAAATTAGTTTTAGTAATATATATAACGTACTCTATCACCGAGCCAGTCATATCACCAAACTAGTCACTTAAAATCCTACTAAAAAACACAGAAACCATACCCCTGCATCTTAATAACTACTTAATAGAATCTTCTAAAAACTTCAGAATAGAGCTGCATCTATACTAATAAAACTATTTAAAAGTCTTAGACTAATAGCTAGTATAGATGTTAAGATAGCCTGCAGCTACCCCTGTATTTTAGTATCTTCTAAATAACATCTGCAATATAGGGCTAAGCACTTAAAGACTTTTAAACAGTCTTATTAGTATAGATGCAGCTCTATTCTAAAGTTTTTAGAAGATTCTATTAAGTAGTTATTAAGATGCAGGGGTATAGTTTCTGTGTTTTTTGGTGGGATTTTAAGTGACCGGTTTGGTGATATGACCAGCTCGGTGATAGAGTACGTTAATTCTATTGCGCATAAGATCCTTAGCTTAGCACCTATACGCCTTCTTTAAAGGGGCAAAACAACCTACATCTAGTAGCTATAAGAGGTGTAATAAGTGTAGAGGCATACATAGTGTGATAATGTTTACTTCCTTGCAGTATTATTAGAAGTCTAGGGAGTTGTAGCTCTTATAGCTGTTAATAAGGAGTAGCTAGTACACTCCTTAGGTGCGTGTCTTTGTATAGGCATTAAAGTGCTTTAACTAGTTAAGACTAAGCTAGTTAGTGGTCTATCTATTCTTAGAGACTCTAATAACCTAGTTGTAGGGCAGATTATCCTAGGCAGAGAGGTAGTTGTAGCCTTTAAAGATAATAAAGGGCAGAATGGCCTATCCTGTGCCATTAATGCCCTGTATGACTGTTGTCCACTCCTAGTTGCCCTGCTGCACTGCCTTTGGCTGTCTGCAACGTTCTAAGCCTGTAACAACTGCTCCTGTTAATATCTAGCCTATTATGAAGCCTGTCTTATTTAAGTTGTATGTGTTATTATCCTAGATGCTATACTTAGCTTTAGTATTCTCTACTAGGCAGAACTAGCTCCTAATAACCTTAGGGTCCTTATACAGGGCTCTCTTATAGTTATACTTGTAATTAAACTTAACTTAGAGGTTAGAGCAGTGCTTAACAAACGTATTAGGCTTGTTTATGCTAACATAGGCTATATTACACTTAGCGCGCAAAGAATTAGCTATATCAGCTACAGCAGCCAATTAAGGGGCAAATCCTCTAGCATCTAGCTTAAGTATGTACTCAACAATCACATCCTCCTTAGTCTGATCTATATTCTGTGATTTTCGCGTGCAATTGGCTTGTGCAGTGCGTCCTGCGTATCGATCGCGTAGCGTGTTGTAAGGCGCGTTATATATAGCTGCAGCTCGTTGCAGAGTGAGCGTCGCGTCTTGTTTAACTGCCTGAAGCGCAAGCTGTATTGCAGCTTCTTTAAAGGGCTTAGATTTGTGTTGTTTTTAAGGCATTGCGTTGTGAAGTAGAATGTTGGTGTGGTCTTGGCAGTATGAACGACTCACCCGTGGAGTACGTTATAGCCAGAGATGACGTTAGGCGTTTTTGCTTAGCGTCAACGCGTCCGTGGTACAGAAGCTGGCAATACATTCACGATGCTGCAGCGTGGCCATCAGACTAGTATCTGTGTCTTTACGCGTCATTCAACACTATGAACTTGTCTATAACCACTCGTTACCTTTTGAGGCCATTTCCTGAGCATCTATCTAGCTAGACTCCTCCAATTCCTCGAACCAAGAGCAGCAGGTGATGTGCAATACAGAGGTCTCTTTTCTGTTGTGACATCTACAAGCCCAGGAGCATATATCGCAATGTGGTTGGTCAGCTTACGAGCACAACCTGTCCTCCCTGTACGAGCGCATCCGTATTTCGCCAAACCTATTCTTCGTAGGCCTCGATGCGTTCAGCGAGCGAGACGTGGAATCCAATGCACGTCATTACCGCCGACACGATCGCAACCGTCAGATCCTCAACAATCCAGCCTCCCTGAACTGACTCACCATTTGCCATTGATCGAACAAGCGAGCGCAACAGCGCGCACAATACCCAGGCGCTGACAATGACAACGATGGCTAGAGGCGTGAGACCGCCGTCAGGGAGACTAGCATCTGGTGTGGAGCTGTTTGATAGCTGAGCTTCGTTCTGCTGCGCGTCTGCACCTGCTAGAGACACAGGATGTCGCTCGAAGACTGTCTTAAATGCGGTTATCGAAAGCTGGACCATCGGTCGCATGGGCCGCTCGTCAAGGACCGTGGTTGTTGCTGTGTGAGATAGGGCATGTTTACCCGGTGGGATCGCGTGCTCGGTGGTCTGTACTTCCCGAATGTTCGGTGTAAGTTGAGGGTGTCTTGGTGCACCAGAGGACAGCTTTTGACTTTCAGCAACAAGCAGGTCTTCCAAAGCGCGTAGCTTAGCTTCTGTGTATTGCACATCGTTTTGCGCGTGTGTGGCCTCCTGCTGGCCAGTATCTGAAGGAGCGCTCACTGATGGACACTCATCGTCATCGAGTTGCAGCTCTTGCTGATCCAGGCTGGCTTGTTCTGGAGGATATGAAAGCAGCACATTTCTGCTGCTCCTGGAGGCCTCCTCTTCAATGATCTGCTGGTCGGCGCTCTTGCGACCTTTTGCCCGTGCGAGGACCTCGGTAGTAGCTTCAGGTGAGCTGAATGGCTCCACGAAGCTGAAGCTGGAGTCGGAGCAGGCATCACTGAGTAACGGTGTGGAAGGACATTCAACGTCAACAAAATCCTTCAGCTCATCATTTGAGTGGCGGCGTGCACCCCAAGAAGAAGACCCGCTTGGTACATCAGGGGTCATCTTGCGAGATGGCGCGTAATATGGTGCAGTATCATTCCATCGTTTCATTGACTGAGTGTTAATCGATGACATGGATGGAAGTGCACACTCAAGGTCTTGCAGAAAATTTTCTGCACGCAGCTGTGAGGAATCGTCGAGAACTGGAGAGCCCGCTTCTACCCACTCATCCAGCGCCTCGTTTGATGAACGCTTGTGACGTGGACGAGAGCGAGAAGCAGGCATACCAAACGTATCAAAACGTCGCATGCCTTGGGAATGTATCAAGATCGTCACGCTATTGTGCTTCTTATGCGATGGCTGGCTGGATCCATAGTCACGAACAGGACTGGGATGGACAGCACCCTGGCACGCAGTGACTCGCTGCAGACCGTGCGACGTCGATAGAAGGCAATAATCTGACTGTGGAGCAGAAGAGGAAGAGCACCTGAAGGGTCGATTGCTCAGGCTCGTCACGGTCGCCGAAAGTTGCGCAAACATCGAAGGCGAGGATGCAAGGTTTGCGATGCACCGACTGCGAGTTGGTGTCGCGTACCGGCTGACGAGCTCATCGATATTTGGGTCATAATGGTTTGACTGCGCTGAAACCATAGATGGACTGGAAGGAACCTCGAGCAGCTCTTTGTTGAATGGCGCACTGCCATCTGCCCGTTCGACACGCAGAAGAGTGCATCGATCTTGCAGTCGCAAAACACGGCGTTCGAACAATCTGCTGTTCGTCGATGGCGGTATCGTCATCTCTTCACTGTCAACAAGATGGATGTTTACTGCGATGCCATCCTGTTGTTGTTGGAAGAGGTGATATAGAGGTACTGGCGACTCCGCGTTGTTGAGCAGAGGCGAGAGTTGTGCTTTGGCATGCTCTGTTGATTTTCGCCGTGATGCCGACATTTCGTTCGATGTTTTGGTTGATTCGATGATGGGGTGTTTGGTTGTTGCTGACAATGTGTAGTACGAACTGGCTGCTTGCATACCTATGCATTGTCATCCGCTCCACCGCCAACTTTCACTCGAGGTCCCGCAATCTTTAGTCAACAGTCCCCACATCATTATAAAAATCGAACGACGGGTTGTCGGAAAGCAGTTCAGGATAAACCCTCACCATCTGCTTCGACCGCAGAGAATCGATAGTCACTGTCAATCAAAGACTTGTTGCAGGCTGGTCTTCACCGCACAGAGCCAACTATTCCAAGGCCAACTGTTACGAGCTAATGGGTGTCTCATTCTTCACCTGGCAAACATCTCCCGTGTGCAAACCAATACTGTTGAACAAAGACATGTCTCGGTACCGGTATCTGTTAGACTTCTCGTCCAGTTCACTTTTGGGATACTCAAGCATCACAATGCCACGGCGCTCCCAACACTCAAGCGGTACTTTGACCTGCTCTCACGATGATAACTTCGAGACAGACGCATCCAGTTTCCTCTCGCAAGATTTTGACATCGAGATTGAACCATCAGAAGATGTCCGAACTGATGATGACCATCTCAGAAAACTCAAAGAACTCTTCGAGAAAAATGCCTAACTAATCACTCTGGGTTGTCGTGAAACTATTGGCTCTATCCTGTCTAAGTATGGTGTGGTCCATGATGAAGTCCAACAAGATCCACGTATTGGTCTGGCGTTGAATGCAGACTTCGCCAACCCGACCTTAGCTGAGGGGCCGATAGATCTCTTAGCAGACGAAGATGTACGCATTGCACCAGTTCTACAGGATCTCATGTTCGACTACGCAGAATACCTCTCACAAGCAGCAGTCAAGGCTTCGGTTGACGGTACTAGCACGTCTCCGTACGATAACTCTGACAAGTACGAAACCGACAATACCGAGACCAACTGGGACGATCAGGAGGATACACTATTGGACGTTTATGCTGGGCTGCACACTGACCTGTTTCAGTCTCAGATTGGGATGAGACACTCTTTCGATGAGTTGCAAGTCTCGAAACCTGCTACAACGGCAGTCTTGATACTTCAAAAGGAAAGAAAGCTGTCCAGCATGCCTTACCTGACAATGTCGCCCGTCATACAGGTCGCTATGTTTGATTCGCAAAGCGTGGCATTCAGCATTCGAATAACGGTGCACGAGCCGGCTGCCTCGTCTCAAAATGATTTTAACAGGCCAAATCATAAATCGGTCGCCGACAAGGCTTGCGTCGTAGCTCCAATAGTACGCACCGAGCTCATCGACGCAGCTCACCTGCCCGGGAGCTTCCCTGACTTCCACAGGGCCACTGTGCCCAAAGGCTTACACAAGCTCGCAGGGGGACAATCATACGCCTGGCCACTTCGACCAGAAGACTCAGCATCCAACATCGTGGTCGCAGCAAAGCATCTGAACATATCTCGTGCGAAAGCCTATAGGGTCACGAAACGACTAGACCTTGGGTGTGAGCCCGATGATCTGCTGAAATACGTTCCTGAGCAACTACATAGTGACGTAAAAGAGTGGCTGCAGCAGGTCGAACTTGTGGAATTTGAGGACGAGGATCATGAGACTTTCGTTGCCGCGCCGTCGTTCTTCACTTGGCTTGAGCACAATTGCATTGCTGAGCATGTGCTGAATACTAGCATAGTGGTTGCGCTTGCCGCTGTTGCGCTTACCGGCCACATATATTGGTGAGAGTCTCCCTGATGTAGGTTCTTTGTAAAGTATTATATACCAATGTACCCGGGCCTATGTATACGTGAATCGAGAGTATCGCGCAAGTACCACATGTAGTCTCAATATCTACTAGCTCACTTGGACTCGAGCAAATCAACCAAATGTTTTAACTGTCAGAGAATGGCTGCAATAGTAACGCCCATTCTGAAAAAATTCCCAACCCCACTCTGGAAATGAGAGTGACGTTACTTTTGCAATCTGTCAGACAATAAGCTGTTTCGCGAAACCAACCTTGATGCACTTAACGCAACACTTAACTCTATTGGGGCCGCACGGGCCATGTGCGCTCTGCAGGATTATAAAGTGGGCGCTGTGGTAGACTGGAGATTGGAGTGTGAACAGTGGGTGAAGGTGTGCAGTGTAACAGATCCATACAATTGCAGCAGCACTTAGCTGCTGTTAACCAAGACATCATGAGCTACTGCGCTGCGGTAGGTGAATGCCATTTACCGGACATGTTATGGATGCGATCATAAGCGTTCGAATGAGATGTACTTGCTGCTTTTTCACCGCTTGAGTGAAGCAACAGAACAGGGGATCTGGAACGATAACAAGAAGTTATGACGAGATTGGGTAGAGACGACATGCATTACTGTACTAATTCTCGCAAGGGTAATGACAGGTATATCGCTCAGAAATGAATCCGAAAACGGCTTGCTTGCCTCACATCTTGTACACACCATGCAGTGAACTAATTCCCTATAATTAAACGAAAGTATGCTGGAAGACCGAAGTTCTAGGAAAGGGTACCTTGACGACTAAGCTCGTTGCCTGCAGGCGCAGTCTCAACGTGACTGACCAGCTCAGCCTCAGCCTGCCTCTTCTCCTCGCCCTTCAGAGCCTCGTCCATGTTGCTCTTGGTCCGCATCGGCGACGTCGCATCAGCAGCGCTGTCATCAACATCAAGCTCTTTCTGGCGTCTGCGAATAGTGCTGACGCTTGCCCCACTCTCTGCGTCTGCGTCGCGCTTCTTTCCTGGCTCGCCGTGCTGTACCTCGATGGCGACTTCCGCATCTTTAGAGAAGACGCGAAGACCGATAACGCAAACAGCATTCCAGGGGTCACGCTCAAACTCATCCTCGTCTCTGTCCTCGGTGGCGTAGTATTTCCGACCATTGTGCTTATGGTAGCGGATCTGGCTCTGCGAAATTAGACGTGGCGAATTCACGTCATCGTCAGAGACATCAGTATCGATGGAGTCTGCCAGATCAGAGTCCCAAGAGGAGTTGTCAGACATCTCGTTCGGTGAGTAGGTACCATGTCGGGTTTTCAGCGAATTTACGCTGGTACCACGGCCTCGTGTGATATGTATGGCGGGTCGTACACCAGGGATAGGCGAAAGCGTAGCGCGGCGCGATGGTGCTGGGGATGTCCTTGCTCTGCGTTCAGGCTGCGGACTGTAGGGCACCTCAGATGGAGTGCCAGGGTGGAATTCCTCAAGCTGGGGAGTAGGCTGGGGCGTAGGGATTGGCGAGTCAGTGATCTGACTCTCATTGTAACCGCCCCTTCCATTGTACCCGTCACGGCCGTTGTATCCATCGCGACCCTGGTAGGAGCCGGTAAGTTCAGCGTTGTAGCCGCCCCGGCCCTGGAATTCTCCAGGCATATTCTGATTGTATCCGCCACGACCTTGAAAACCTTGGTTGCTGGCTGGGGAGCCGCCACGTCCTTGAAGAGTAAGCGCTTCCGCCATGGCTGAGCCGTGTTGTTCGTTGCGATTATAGCCTCCTCGACCTTGGAGGGCCCCCGGAAGGGCGGCGTTGTAGCCATCGCGACCACGATTGTAACCGCCACGACCTTGGAAGCCGTTTGGACTTGATGAGCGTTCACCAACAACACTAGCACTTGTAGCACACTGATGCCTTGTGACAGCTGGATGGCTAGGCTTAGCTTCCTCCTCGCTGGCTGTGCGGTTCTCCTCTTCAACAGCAATGCCCAGACCAAGGTCTTGGAGTCTGTGCACAACTTCCTTGATCTCTCCCTGTGGATTCATCCTGCGAGTTTCTTTAGCTGCCTTCTTCTGCTCTCGAAGCCTTTGCTTCTTGCGCAACTTCTTCTCGCGTTCAAAGGCGCGCTTCGCTTCAGCTTTCTTACTTCGGTTCTTCTGCTCGCGACGGTGTTCAGCCTTCTCCTTCTCATACTCTCTGAATTGTCCCTTTGCGTGCGCCAGGTCGTAGGAGAGACCAGTTGCCAACAGCTTCTCACGTCGCCTGGTACAGGTCGCTCTGATAACTTCGTCCGGAGTCTGGTCTTGAGACCTAGTTGCCTTGATCTTCAGTAGAACAGTATAATTACCAGCCTCAAGATCTAGCTCGGTCGAGACAGATCGCTTCATGTAGTACGTCCCATTGCTGCGAACGATGTACTCGTCCTCATCGTCTTTGTGAAGGCGGAATTGCAAGTTGAACTCGTACTGTCCTTCGAGACCTTGGTAGTAGCGATCGTCGAGTTGACTGAGCACGATGACGACGGGACTGGGCTTGTCCAAAGTGACCTTGAACTTGGTCTCCAGATAGTCGACGCTCCAAGGGACATTGACACTTGTCCATTGCTGAGAGACGGTCCATTCGGGACCGAAGAGGCGAGTGCGATCGAAGTGTTGGTAATTCCGGAGCAGGTCTTTGTAAGAGATCCAGAAGACACCGTCGTCGCCGAACTTATGGTTGAGCTTCTGCATCCACTCAGGGGTCCACTCCTCCGAACCATCACTCCAACGGCCAGTCCATTCGGTCCGACCCCACGGGTTACGCAGTTTGAGCAAGCGCTGGTTGTCGATCTCACGAGCTTCCATAATAGAATATGCATGCTTCTCTTGAATGCCCTTGCGCTCACCGTAGATGCCGCCCATCTGACCGCAACCAAAGAGGAATGTCTTATTGACGTTCATGAGCTCCTCGCGCCAAAACTTGTCTTTGTCCAGAATGTCGGTAGCGAAGATCTCCGAGGTGACACCGCCTGTCAGATCTTCGATTCCCTCGCCCACGAAGCCGCCGTCGATAGCCGAATAGTCGCCGTGAGCCTTCGCGAAGGCCTTCTCGAGAAGGGGAAGCCAAGTCTCGTTCGAGTCGCTGCATTGTGCAAAGTATAAGGCTCTCGAGCCTGTCTGCATGACCGTTCTGTATTCCTCCTCGGGACTTTTGCGGTTCTGGAGCTCCAGCCAATGGTAGCGCTCGATCTTTGCCTCATCGAAGTCCTCCTTGATGAGGTATAGCTTGTCGTCAATAACCTCAGAGATCCATTCGCCGTCTGTACCGCATAAGTGAGTGTTATGCAGGGATGCATATCAGGGTACCTACCTCTGTGGAAGACGAATCCATATACACCGACTTGCTCGTCTCGAGCAATACACACTCTTTGTATCAATTCCTCCTTGTTGCTTATCGTTGCTAAAGCTGACATAAACCAGCAGTCGCCATCGTTGCCTTGTCGCACATCGTTCGCGGTCGCGCCTTCAATGAAGAATTGAGGACTCTCGAAGATGTCCTGTTGCTTGTCAGCTGGGCGCCCAGAGCTGTGAGTCATCGTCAATGTCCTACCTCTACCCTTTTGACAGACATGGGCTGAAAGTCAGATACTTCCTTGTCCAGGCTTGTCAGACAATCAGGAGGTATATCTGGGAAGGCTTGCGTTCTCTTGAAGTCGGCCTCAATGTCGAAGTGAGGGTCGCGATACTTCTGGTTCAGTCTCCGGCACTCTCTGACAATCTTGGCCACCTTAGCTTTACAAGCAAAGACAGCTTCTTCATAAGATGCAAGGGCATTCTTTCCTGGAATAGCTCCTTTGGGCGCATGTGCCGCTGCACGTTTGGCGTACAGGTTGTCCGGCAGGATCGTGAAGATCTTTCCCGGGTGTTTCGTTGTGAACTTGTCCCAGAACTCGTCGATGTTCCTCTGTGGCGCCTGCTTCTTGACGAACAGGGGTGTCCGCAGCGCGGCGGCGGCGAAGGCCTCGCCGTTCATGCTTAGAGCTCGTGATTGAGGTCGGGTGATGTTGATGAAGTCGTTGGGGGATACCTGCGATGCCATGGTCATTCCCAAGTCGTAACTAGGGGCTCTGAATGGTGTTTGGGGTCCATTATGGGCTTGAGGATAATTAATAAATATCTCTTGAAAGATGACAACTCTTTCAGCCCCCAGCCGTGACCTAGGTATTTCGAGAGCTGTAAGAAAACAAGTGGGGCTGTCAGACTCTCAGCACAGCCGCTGGACCCCGCTCAGCACGACTCACGGTTCAGATCGTCGCGGAGCGCCCGAACGCGTCGGAGAGTTGACGCGCAAGGCAAGAGAAGGCGGCCAGGCAAAGACGTTCCCAGCTCGGCCCAGCTGCAGTGCCCTGCAGTATCTGCAGCATCATCTCTCGAATCACTCGGCGGACGAATGAAACGACGCGTCCATGTTCTGATGCTAATGTTCGTTCGTCATAGGCGAGATAAACGATGCAACCACCTCGCTAGATTGGTTCGGGGGCGTTGCGCTAGCTGGTTCAGATGGATTGCTGCTGCCAGGCTGACCGACTTCTCGTGCAGCTCTGCTGCGAATTCATAGCGAACCCTCTGCTGCTCTGGAGGTGAGATTTTTGAGAGTGTCGACATTGCGGTGCGTCCTGTGACGTGGTGCTGCATGCCAGATGATGCAGATAACGGCAACAGGCTATCTGTAGCACGTTTAATCGGTGATGAGGCTGACGCTTTGCTAGCCGTTGACGCGGGCAGCGTGCCGAGCAGTTTGGTGGTCCATGTTCGACCGCATTTGAGCCAACTTGAGAGATCAACCGGGGTCGAAACAACCACAGCCTCGTAGCCCGCTCGACACAACATGAGAATTGCGAACATGTTCCAAGATTGAGCAGCTATGCGAAGGCATGCAGCATGTAGTCGTTTGGAGCGCCTCCCACATGCTGTACCTTATCGATAGGCACAAGCATGAACGTTTCTCGCATTAGCAGCCATCCTTCCCAGGAATCGGAAATGTCTCAGACCATCCACATTGCTGGATCCAGGGCTGCATCTCGAGGATGTCGACCGGGGCTGTGCCTGCATTGCCAGCAACGACTGCGGTTCGTCCACCGTTGCGCCCCCATTTTGAGTCAACTAGCGGTAACGGCTCCGCGTTGTTTAGCTCGCTGCTGTCATGACCCAAGAGGCTGAATAATGGCATCCTGCCCGTGCTGCTCGGACCTCGTCGCCATGGAGCTATGCAGCCCTATGAGTCGCTGGTGCATAATAAGTCTCTGCTAAGATCTCACCGCACTTCTGCTGGTCTGAGCCAATGAGGTTGTCGTGTCGTTGCACTGGCTTCCAGAAGGATCATCGAAGATTAGAAGCATGATTGGGAAGCGAGAAAGGGCGCTCCGTCATTATGCAATCGATGTTGCAACGCATGTATGCTGCCAAGGTCCGCTGACACCGTGAGGAAAAGTAGTAAGCACGGCTCAAAATGTACAGAGGCACCGCATTGAATGCAACGGTGCCGAGTATCGCGGGTGACCCTTCGAATACTGGTGCTCCCGAGTCACGACGCAAGACTGTTTCGTGAGACATTGAAATGGGGTGAGATCTGAACGGTGGGACGCAGTGCGAGAGAGATAATTTTAGGCTAGCGCGCTTGCGGCTCCTTTGAGGAATGCGAGTTACGTTAACTTACAACAATAACAATAACAGCACATCACGCAGCATAAAAAGCTCACCCCAAATCGTGGCACGGAACAACGCACAGCATACCGTCCAATACCCTTACTGAAACATTATAGAGTACAAAGAAGATGCCATAGGCAAGTGACGTCACCACGGCCTCTCCACGCTGGCATTTCATGCGAACAACATCCTCCTTAACTTATGGAAGCAGGCCGCATTGATCAGTTGTCCGACAACTCAGCTGAATCATGACGTTTCCTCCGCTGCTGCTTCTGCCCGCTGATGCTGTCCTCCACGTCCTGTCCATAAGCCTTCCGGAACTCGGTGTCGAGCATTCGCTTTACAGCAACGGGGTTGATGTGCATCAGCTTGGCTGTCGGGAAGATGCATATCTCGAGCTGTTTCGCGAGAGAGTTAAGGAGCCAGTTGTCGATTTCGTGGACGTCCATAACTGGTACTTCGGCGCGAATATTGCCGATAAGATCATGATGCTGGGTGCTGCTGAGGTCGAACGCTTTGTATTCTTCGTATGTCAAGTGTGTAAGATCTGATATGTTTGGAACGCTTGGTGTAGTTGAAGACGGGCCTGGAGAGCATGGTAATTTCGTACATGCAGTCGGTGCAGTGCTTCCGCCATTTTCGCGAGGGCGAAGCTGCACTGAAAGTTTCTGCTTCTTGGCCTTGGCCATGCTGATCTGGAGATAGGAATGCAATCGATACGCGGTAAATTTGCGGTAGTGATGGCTTTGGGACCGCTGGAGCTTCAGAGGCGACTGTTGTCGTTTGTCTCCCAGCTCGCTCCTGCCTAGGCTCCATAGTAGGACCACCCTTCCTGAACGACCGCAGCCGGCTTCATGTGACAATCGCAAGTGCAAGAGCTTATTCCGTCACTGCTGATGCGGGCAGTCTCATCTGGAAGGACTTCTCCAAGCTGCCGGGTCGCGAAGCGGTCTTTGGTGGAATTAATATCGTTGTAAGCGTCCGCTCTCGGGCTTTGGACCCTCTCGCCACTGCTACTTGCACGATTCCGTATCAGAAACTGCGGCTTGCTGCTGGTCTCGCTCTTTCTAGCGAGCTCTGCATCGTATCTTCTGTTGTGTTGCAGAGTTTGTCTATTTAACATGTCAATCACTTCTTCCCTCGAAATGCACAACGCAGCGGCTGTCTCTGCTATGTTTCCTTCCTAGCGCAGCGAGAGATTACGAGAGTCAAGCAGAGTTCGACTTCGACGGCCATGTTGTCAACAAAATTGTTCTTGACGAGCATGTTAGAGTGCTGACTGAAAGTCTTTCGCTTCATCCTGCTGAATGCGCAACACCGAATAGATGGTATCTTCCCAAAGATGCTACGGAGGATAGCAGATCTTCTGAAAAACAGTTGCAGATGCAGCACTGCAAGTATACGTGTCATTCGAGCTGTCTGTGCCCGACATGGTGGGTGGGTGAATCGTCTCGCTTGGATCGTTTTTTAGAGTCTGTAAGATACAGGTACTGAAGTGACTCCCTGAAAGACTTGGCCCTGCATCGAATTTATAGGGGCAACAAAGCTTAGTGTGTTCCAGGGTTTAGTCAACTGTAGATCAGGGGTGACACTTACTAGAACTGAACCAATCTGTTGCGTGTCCAGCACGGATGCAGTATTTTCACATTGGAAGAGTCGTTCATCTGCGGATCTATCAGCTTGATTGTTGCCGTGAAGGAAGTTCTGGTTGCTACCAACTTTCACCTGCAGGGGCGCTAATTAATTCCGTTGTTTGCTGCAGCCCACCGCGCCTTCCCCAGCCACGCTGCTTCACACCGAACAGCCGCTCTGGCATAACCGATTCTCTTTACGCGTCGCAACTCAGTACCCGATCCCTGCGTGTTCTTGAAATGCCATTTCAACAAAAAGTCGTGATTGCGCGCCCGCTAGACGATATCGCTCGCGAAGTGCGCATCATTCGAGCACTGTACCCACAAGAATGTCTAAGTCCATCTTTGGATCCTATGGACCCAGATCCAATCGCTGCATCATTAGAAGCTCTGCCCACATACCATAACACAGGCGTTCAAACCCTCCCACCGGCGAATGGCAACATTTTCAGACTGATCCACGGCTGCGAACCCTCACAGAGCGACTACGTGCATAGCATGGGCAGTGCTGGGATTGGACGCCTCGCAGCCGATCCTCGCTCGAACCTCTTTGATTTGATCTACGGTTCGACATACCTCGCTCCTACGACAGCCACAAGAGGGACGTACACGGAGTCAGGCTTCCAAACAGCGAACCATGATACGAGAAGGAAAGCGTTGGCCCGCGCAAAGGTCAAAGCATCAATGACAGCCAACAAATATCGGAACGCTGCCTCTAAGGCGGGCTACGTCATATATGCGGAGTCTCGAGATGAGATGGTTGTACATTCCGAGCAGTTCCACAACGTTATACAACTGGATTCTGAAGGCAATCTGCTTGAGGGCACTGTCAAAACTCGCAACCTTCCGAACATATACGGCGCATTGATATACCCTGAACCATCAGAAACACCGACCACTCGAGGAGCGTCTGAACAGGCTGCGGGGCGTCTTCCGAAGCAGTCGCGTGACAAAGAACGTTGCTCTCGGGCTCCACAAGCTCCGTATCCGTCTCCATCGCAATCTCCTCTCATACCTCCACTAGCAACCGCGGAAGAGCTGCAGAGTTCGGTGGCAATCGTATCTGCCCTTGCACCAGCGATGAAGCATAGCCCTGTAGAGCCAACCCTTGACAACGAGTACGGAAGTGGTGAGACCGGCACAACTGACTTCATTGTCTACAATGCTAGCGCTGAGCACAGCAGACCAGAACTCGCGCGCAGTGGTACAAAACAGTCTTCAGGAAAGCGCAAGTCAACCGAGCACAGCTTACCCGACTATCCATGTAAGAAGCACAAGATTTTAGCGCAAGCTAGCCCACGACGCTCCTCTATCTCTGTCGCACCTCTGGCAGTAGGCTACCCAAGTCAGCAAGAACAAGATCGCAACATTCGTCCCATGACGTCAGAATCAGCTTTCCGAGCTTCTCCAAGGTTTCAAAAGATCTTTTGCACGCGCCCGGGCGAGTTTGGTCAAGAGCGCACATTGAACGTTGTTCAGGCTAGCACCAAGTGGAATATCAGGTCCGAGAGCATCACATCAAGCTCGACAGATACTTTCAGAGTACAAGAGCTAAAGCCGTGGCGCATGGTATCACATGGCCGAGCTGTTGGTAACATGGATGTTGCCGCCGGAACGGAAACGGGCAGTTTGTCGAGAGCAAATGACCACAATTCCGATTGCCATGTTCTCCAGGAGCCAGGACCATCACTACCAACCGACAAGGTTTCAAAGTCATCTGTACCGGTAATTTTGTTCGAAACGATTGACGTCCAGTCTCCCTCAAATCAAAAGAGTATGAAGGCTAAGAATACAGAGCAAGCGTCTGTACGGCCAACGCGATCGTTTAGCGAAATCAGTGCCGAGTCCCTTGATTGCAATCGAGACAATAAGCGACTCCGAAAAAGCCCTGAAACCAATGTTCAGGCCAGAGTCAGTGTCCAACAGACGCTTAGTCCAAGGAAGGAACGAAATGGCTCCTCAGAAAGCCTTAAAATAGCACGCGCCCACTTAGACAAGCCGGCAGCAGGCAGCTCCTGTGGGGCTGATAAAACAGTCTCTGGTCACGTGGAGAAGGAGCCAGTCTCCCGTACCTCGCGGGCACCAAGACAGCCGCTTGTTACATACTTGCCCCCTGCAAAGCGTGCAAGGGGCCAGAGAGATCCGAACGGAAAGAAGAGATGACGTCGGCAATTCAGTGGCAGAGTGTGTCTAGGCATTCGATTAAGCGAAACCAGACTTTATTTGGTGAAGAGTACTGGCGTAACTTACATCACGAGATGAATGAAACAATCGCTGCCTAGAAGATGGACGACATCGGTTCAGTTAAGCTAAGGAAGAACTTAGACTGCATGAATCGTGATTGGAATCCCAATATACGCTGACAAACATGCAGTCCACTTGAGCTGAGCCTGTCCACCAGGCGCAATCATTTCTGGAGCCAGCTGTGGGTGGTTTCATAAACTGCTCATAGAGCTTCCTCAATTGAAACGGTGCATTACTTGCACCTAACGAACTCTAGGTTACCTTATCAACGAGCCTGCTGGCCAGAGCCAGACGCAGCGTAGCGACAAAGCGCTTGGAAGGAAGGAAGAACAGTCGCAAGCTAGTTGTCGAAACAAAGGAACGGACCTTAATGTCCGCAACCATGCCAAAGTAACACATGTCGAAGATCGGCAGAAACATTCCTCGAAGCTCGTAGCGAAACGTCCTACGAGCGAGGGAGCGCGTTTTCGGGCTCGGCGAGCCATCGCGAGAGAGATGGGCGCACATCTTGTACCCAGCGATGTACTTCGAGATAAGAGAGCCACAGCTCGAGCTGAGTTTCTGACACCGTACTCTACCGACCCGCTGGTACCAGAATATATGAAGTTTCTCAGAAGACACCCTCCCCGTGTGATCGCTGCTGCGCAAGTCGGGTTGTGATTATCCCTCCTTCTACGGCATTCTGCATCGCAGCTGTGATTTGACGTCTAGCGTAGCTCCATCCGCAAACTCGCAACCCTTCGGACTTTCGGCATGACAACCTCATTATACCAGCCGTCAAGATCGTACAAGACGATATTGAAGATGGGCTCTGGCTCTAAGTCCGGAAACTCTTTGACAACGTGACGGAGGTCAGCAGTCGACGTGTTGCGGTAGCGGCTGCCGAAACCAGTGTCTCAGACGTTGGCGATGTCACGATCGTCTTTCGTCCAGGTGTCTGGATCCTATTTCACCGTCCACATGAGATCGGGCACAATGTGCGCCAAACTAACACCGTCATCGATTTTGGGTATTAGAGGCATCCAGTCTGATGCATTGACGTCGTCTTCCATACTGCTTAACACGGGTTACAATGCCCAGGGTGAAGGGGTAATTCACCTACTTGTCGATGCGTGGCCGGCTTTCTTCAGGATACTCCTTCGCTTCAAATGCTTTGATATATCTGTAACGATTGACCCTGGGGCGCGGGCGGTACCTTCCCGTAGTTGGTGGACCTGGTGTTGCTATGCTGGTACTAGCACTTTGCACGCGTGCAAGGGCCTTTGCGCTCATGGGTGCATGGCTGCTTTAGGTTGGGCGTGCGGGTGTTGTTGGTGCCGGTGGGGGCGTCGTGCGGGTCGTGGCTGTTATTGCAGGTGTTGCCGGCTCGACAGTTGCCGGCTGCGAAGTGGATGCATAATATGAGTTGTTCCTCTGTCTTTCCGGTGCCTTGAGGTTGATTCTGCTGCGGATTCGAAGGGCCAGATGCAGGCCGGTTGCCATTCTGTAGATGGATGCGTGGGCTGCCGTTGCCGCTGCCGTTGCACTTTTTATTGGCGAATCTCTTACAGATGTTGTCGGAGTCCCTGGAGTCCATTGTAGCGCCATTACCAGCTAGGAGGAAGAATTGAGCATCGGGGTTTGTAATCGTGTTCTGGTTGAGCAGTCCTTGTACATGCATCTGGAGTGGCGCCGCAGCTCGCACACCAGAGCCTTGAGGCGCCGCATGCAGAGTGATTTGCTGCTGTTCCATTGGCAAGATAATGGACTCGTGCACATACTTGCAACCTGTCGGACCAAACGGGCAGTCAGTCCTTTGGACCTGGACCCGATAAGGGCAGGGAAAGTTCCACTTTAAAATGTACGGATGGTCTTTGTTGCACGGATGATTGGCATCGTCGACATGTGTACCACCCTTGCCTGATTGGAACTGGGGACAGATGCCCACATATGCATCGAGGTCCATCATTTCATCGTCACCATCTGCACCGTCGCATTCCAAGAAAGTGGTGAAAGACTCCGCCGGAGCACCTTGCTTGTTAGTCACTTGTACGAATGCAATATCGTTGAGCCTTGGAAGTGCGACAGCATTGACTGAGAGGGTACCCTGGCCTACAACAGGAACTGACCTGTACACTCGTGGAGGGTGATCACGCTTCTTCGCCAGGGAGGCCAGCTTGGGTCGCTACGTCGCGGCTTCGGCGATTTGAGTGGCTCGAGCATATGCTTGCTGGTCATGAACATCCTGCAAAGCCTGACAGATTGCGACCACGTCTGGCTTCGTTTACATCAGAGGAGCTTCATGCGCCGATTATACCATCTCAGCTTGCAATTCGCGCATCTGATCCAAATCCCAGCCGGCCCGAGCAACATCCCACCACATTCTTTCGTGGTACAAGAGCATGTGCATGATAGAGTGCGCCTCCCGGAGGCAGATTGCGGCTTCGAGGTGTATGTTTAGTTCTAGTCGCAACTTATCAATGTTGTTGATTTGGAGAGCTTTGCTGTGCTTGTCCCACAGAAGGTTGAGCCTGTGAACGCAAGACGTGGTGTCGTGCATGCTGAGCTCCTTTATGAAATCTCCATTGGGATGAGCGCCACCTTCGCGATAGGCTTTCAATTGCTCAATCAGGGTGACGTATGCTTGGAAATTGACGTGGAACTTTTTGCGTCGTGCTTCCTCGCGCTGGGACTGGTGAGCCGAGATCTCAAGCGCCACTTCGTGTGCTTGTTTCTGTGCAGCATGACTGATGACGATGTCCCTGCTGACCTGATCTTCGACGGTCGGGGTGTTTGGCTGCTGACTCTCTGGAGTAGGCTTTCTTGTGGATCGGTTTGAACGGTTGAAGAGACGTAGGGTACTGGGCTCGGGTGCGACGAGTGTTGTGGTGGGACCTGCAAATATATTTTGTCGATCAGTTTCATAAGTGTCGCAGTAGCGCTATCCACCGTAATGTCACGATAGCGACCATGGGACTGTCGATACTCTGTATTGTCGTAGCTTACAGCCCTCGGTTCCCGATCATAGTACGAAGAGTCCAGCCAACGCAGGATCGTTCCAGCCGTCACCTCAGCCTCCTCTTTCGTAGTATTGTATTGTTCGAAAGTTCCCGGTCAGTGTTCGCGAAGATCGTCTACGAGTTGTTTGATCCCCTTCAGCGGCAAATCGAGCTCATACAGTCGGTCCCGCAAAGCGCCTGACAAAGACCCGAAGACATCAAAGAGGAATGGACCATCCAGAAACGCAAGTGCCTGGTCGTCGAATGCACGCATGATTCGGCTCATCATCTGAGGATCTCTGCTGTGTTTTCTTCCTCCTAGCCCACGAAGCTCCTCCTCTGTGAGTGCCAGTTCTGCCATCCGGTCAGTGAATAGTTCAGACGTTGTCCTAAAATTCGTCGTCTTCGCAAGTATGTCCTCGAAATACGATTTGAGCCTACGCTGGTCAGAGTAGGCAGTAGAAAGCTTGCTCTGTTTGCTCAGATTCATCGCATGCCGGTTCAGATACACATCGACCAAAGACTAGCTGCTTTTAGTCTGTTAATGTGATGATTTTCCTGAGAGTCACTTACTTTCAGGGACGAAGTATATCCACTCTTATTTGACGTTGCCCGCACTTTTTCAGAACAGGCTCCTTCGTTGATGATCGTGCTGTGTTCGCGTCGTCCAGCCCCCGTGAACATCTTCGCATAATTTGACACCAGAACATCAGAACACCAGAAGATTACATACCTGGCCTTCTATGCACACATCTTCTCTAGTTTGCTTCTTGCCTTGTTTTTTGCCAGCAGGATCAGCTTTTGGTCTAGACACGTCCTCACCCTTTACTTCCGTGACGCACGGCACGTTGTAGCTCGAAGTTGCGAACGGAGTTGCGAACATGGTCCAGACTATTTAAGTCAAAGACTTGAGATTGATTAGTGAGGCAACTAGTAAACAATCCGGTGGGCAATGTGTCTAAATAGATGGGCAGCGCCAGCAAAGATTCCTTCGTGGAGATGGCGCAGTAAATGGCCGAGACTTAATGGCATTGTCGGGAGGTAGTTCTGGTAACGCTCTATGTGGTTCTCGGCCTGGCTTGCTCTGAGCACACGCATACGGAGGGTGTATGGGTAGACTCATACAAAGGGTAGTTCTCGACGCGTGAGTGGCCACGATATTGTTGTCTGAAACCAGGCACGTCCAGTGCTCGCCCCTTGTTTGTGCTGAACAACGTCTTTGACACACAGCCCAGGAACGGACTCGCGATCAAGAAGCTGCGGAGTTGAGGACAAGTCTGCACTGTTGGAAGATTCGCGCGCTTGATCGCGCATTGTGAGGAATGCAACGCTATGCAATAAGCGTTGTGGGAGTTCACGAATTTCATGATGGGCAGCTCCGGCGACCATTGTGCGGTACGATCTCTAGCCGAACGGAGGCGACGTGACATGTGCGACGAGTTGTCAAAACCGGTACAGGCGAAGAAATGGTACGTTGGAGAGAAAATAAGTGAATAGGTACGATGGATAGGTATGTGGGCACTTGAACACATGCAAAACACCTGAGACGTAGCAGGCAAACCTTGACGCCCTGCTGTACCCGAAGAAATGTCGAATTGTTACGAGGCTTGCTAAGGAGCTGTGGTTTGCAGTCTAGATATACGCAGGAGGTATCTTTTGGACGCGGAAAGGAATAATCGAAGTAGGAGGCGCGTGCCGGATTTATACAGTCTCGACGTAGTTGCTACATGTCTGTTAGACGAAGAGAAGGTGCTGGGTGCGGACACAACATACCTAGGGAAGATGCCCTCCCTGTCGCCCACTCGCCCTGTCCACCAATCTGTCTCGTTGTCTGTGCGCTTCAGGATCGTAATGACTTCGCCCTTCTTGAACCCCAGATCACCAGGCTGATCGGGGTCGAAGGTAAATTTCGCAATCGCCTGGTCGGCGCCCAGGCTTGCTTTCCTCTGACCAAACACTGGCTTCGGCGCAGATGGTCGCCCAGGCGCAGAGGAGCGGTCGCTGTAAGAATAGTCGTCGCCAAACGTGGACGCCCGGCTGCGGCCGTTCATGGTGTCAAATGTCTCGTTGGGATTCGCGCGTGTCGAGAAAGAGCGGTTGACGCCCCCTCCTGTGTTCGGCTGTCGGTCGTATACGTCGTCCGCCCATGTCGACGTACGCTGTGGGCGGTCGCGGTACTCGTACTCGTCATTTCCAGCGTGCTGGCTACCCTGGCCGAGCGAGCCGGTGCGATCTCTCCTCACGCCCTCGCCCATGGCGGAACCACTGCGTCCTTGCCAGACAACGTTGTCTTGCGAGTCGTCGTAGACCGGAATGTCGTTGTACATCCTGTCGTCTGCGGCTGCGGCGCCACCAGTCCCAGAGAAGACCCTCGAGTTGAGCACGCGCAGCAGGGGCTCGGCGGCTGGCGGTGGGGGGACCTGGCCGCTCAGGAGCTCTCGCGCTGTCCATCTCCGGCCGTACAGCTTCTCGTTGGCGTCCCTCCGCTCTATCAGGCCACTGCCCTCCAGACTGACACCAGCAAACAGTCCCTTTGTCTTGCTGTAGCTGAAGACGCCCGCAACGCCCTTCAGACTCGCGACGCCGGCGGCCTCCGCGTTTCTGCCGACCGGGCCAGCGGCGATGGAGACATTGCCGCCGAGTGTAAGCGAGCCAGCCTGCGCAAATGTGCGCACTGCCGAGGCATCGTTCAGGATGAAGACGAAGTCAGTCAGCTCGAAGCCAATCTGCCCGCCGAAGCCGCCGCCGATTGTCCCAATGGCCGAGGGCGCTGACCACGATCCGTCTGCGAGGCGCGCGACGACGACGCCGGAGCCGAAGCGTGCTGTGCCGAGGAAACCCGCCTTGAAGACGGTGAGGATGGCAAGGCCCTGTTGCGCGTCTGTCAGTACATGCTGCCTGTCGACCCGTGGGCTCGCACGGGACTGGGCGGAGCCGGGCGCGTTGCGGGGAGCCCGGAAGCGCAAAGAAAAAAGAATCGCACCTTTGCGTTTGCTAGAACAGACGGCGGGATGATTTTGTCGGGTCCAAACGACTGTCGCGGGTCGACAAAGGATGCCAGAATCTTGCCCGTTTTCCTGCATTCGCCTGCACAGCATATTGTCAGCGACGTCACAGCGCGGTCAGCCTCACCACTTCTGAGACTAGTCATTCGCGGTAAGAGACAGGTACTCACTCCTCATGGACGAGGGCAGCGGATTGTTGAGTGAGAAGCCCATCGCGGATTCGAGACTGTCAGAGACGTGTTGGCGGAGAACGAATGCGCTGACAGCGGCCTTCTTTCAAGCAGTGGAGAGCTGGAGAACCGCGAGGAGTGATGACAGCACTGGATGTGGCTGAGTGCGGGCGCGCGAGCTGCCGCTAAAGTCCGCCCATCACCTGGACGCGTGCCGAGAGCCTTGTATCTCCGCGCCTTGGCCACCGCAGTGAGGTGCAAGATGAGATTGGAAGATTGCACGGCGCGGCCGGGAGCTGATCGAGAAGCATACGACGACTGTGGCGAGCCCGCGCATGAGGCGTGTCGATGCTCGAGGCGGCCTGCTTGCGCCTTACCTTCTAGTACGTGCGCCACACCTTTCGCCTGCGTGACGTGACGGAACCTGGAAAACTCACATCGACCACCGTAGCCTCATCCGCCAAAGATACCCACCCAGAACCATGCAACAGGTGTTCCAAGTCCTAAGAATATCATGTTAATTAGTCAGTTTTCAAAAAGTTCCCTCTGCTCTGTTATTGCTTCTGCTTTGTAGTGTGAAACTCTGCTACTGTAGGCCTGGAGGAGAGGAGCTCGCACAAAGGACCCTCTTAAGGCGACACAACGTTGCGCACTAGCTAGAAAACGTGAATCTTGTAATCGTCCTGCTCTTGCGAAGAATTTAAAACGGAAACGAACCCCTATTTAACAGCACAAGACACACCACAATTTTGGTGTTCCTCGTCTGTCGCTTGACAACATCATGTGACCGATGCATCGTGTTCTGCATCTAGTGCTAGTGAATCTACGCGTCGTCGTTGCCCCATCTCTGCACACTCACTACCGGATAACGTAGAATTAAGGAGTTTAGTAGTCACCGGCTTAGAGGCAACAAGGCTTTCCGTTTGCTCAGCCCTATCCAAGCAACGCACTGGCGGATTAGTAGTATCCATAAGGTAGGTGTGCACTGGCGGATGCCCGCAGGAGTATGTCTTTGGCGATTTACTGCCCTGCGTCGCCATTTCGTAAGGAGCGAAACAGTATCAGAACAACTTCATCGCACTCATTGGCAGTTGCGGCATCGACGTTTGAATGTTGTCTCCAAGTAGGCTCCCGAGATGCATTACAAATGAAAGTTGTTAGCCTCCAACTTACCCCACTCCACTGATAAGTACTTGGAGCTCCGGCTGTCTATCGGCTGCAATGTCTCCAAATTTCGTTGCTTATATTCTCTTCCCTCTGTCTGTCCCTATTCACTGATCCTTCTCTCCTAAAAGCAATTACCCATCTTTCCAAAGTCCAAGCAACAGTCACCGAAACTCATCACCATGACATTATGGCAAGATGCCGCGGCTAAGAAGCGCGAAGAGATCTCCGCACTCATTCCCGAGGCGTGGCGTATAGACAATCTACCATCTGTGAAAGAGCAGGTCGACGTGACAGAATACGTCAAGCAGTACTTGTCGGAAGAAGAGCTAAGCATTACTGAAAGTGACGCGGAGAAGATCGTGGGAAAGACCACGTCAGGGGCTTGGACTGCCGAAAAGGTCACGCGCGCGTTCTGTCACAGAGCAGCTCTCGCACACCAATTGGTATTCCGGAACTCACTTCGATGATCAGGCAAAGCGCTAACAAGCCTAGCTCAGCTGTCTTCACGAGATCTTCTTCGATGCGGCCATCGCCGATGCAAAGAAGCTCGATGATTACTTCGCAGAGCATAAAACGCCCGTCGGCCCTCTCCATGGCCTTCCCATCTCACTCAAGGATCAGTTCCACGTAAAGGATGTCGAGACGACCATGGGCTATGTGGGCTGGATCGGCACCTTTGAGGGAAAGAAGGGCACCGGCAAGGAAAAAGTCTTCGAGAGCGAAATGGTCCGCGAGCTAAGAGCAAGCGGTGCAGTGCTGTACTGCAAGACGAGTGTACCGCACACTCTCATGTCGGGTGAGACAGTGAACAACATCATCGACTACACAATGAATCCAAAGAATCGCAACCTCAGCAGCGGAGGCAGCTCGGGTGGTGAAGGTGCATTGATCGGTATCAGAGGGTCGCCAGTAGGCTTCGGCACTGATATTGGCGGTTCAATCCGTATCCCAGCTGCTTTCAACGGTTTGTATGGTCTCCGTCCTTCGACCGGTCGCCTGCCTTACGAAGGCATGTCGAATTCCATGGATGGTCAAAATACCGTCTTGTCGGTAGTCGGCCCACTCGGAACCACCGCAGGATCGCTGCGCTTGGTCACGAAAGCCCTCCTCTCACAGCAACCTTGGCTCCATGACCCATTCGTGCACGAGATTCCCTGGCGCAGTGAGGAAGAAGATAAGATCCAACAGCTTCTACAATTTGTCGGTGAATCTGTGCCCAAGGAAAAGAAGCTCGTCTTTGGAGTCATGCACACTGACGGTGTCGTAACACCCACCGCGCCCATTCGTCGCGCGATTGAATTCGTGACAAAAGCTCTCGAGGCCGCCGGTCACGAGATTTTCACCTGGTCGCCACCTTCCCACAAGGTACTGAACGACACCGGCTTCAGATCCTGGGTCTTCGACGGCGGCCGCAACGTGCGCGAAGCCTTTGCGCTCTCCGGCGAGCCCATGGCCCCTCAGGTCTCTCTGTACCAGAACGAGATGAAGGAGTTCAGCGCCACCGAGATCGCCGAGACCAACGTAGCGATGCGCGCCCTGAAGAAGGAGTACATGGATTACTGGAACAGTACTGCAAAGGAGACGAGCACAGGCAGACCAGTGGACGCCATCATCTCGCCACTGGCGCCGTGGCCGGCTGCGAGGAGGGAAAAGTACAAGTATTACGGCTATACGACTTGGATCAACGCGCTGGACTACACTACTGTTGTGTTTCCGGTTACGAGTGTGGATAAGGCGATTGATGTCAAGAGCAGTGACTTCAAGGCGGTGGATGAGAAGGACCAGGAGATTCAGGACGACTGTGAGTGCCCCGGCTCGAAATTCCGTTGTGTTGCACCTACTGACGACCTTTGCAGACGATCCGGAAATCTACGACGGCGCGCACGTCAGTCTGCAGCTTGTGGGCAGAAGGCTGCAGGAGGAGAAGATCTTAGCAGTGGCCGAATACGTAGGAAAGTTGATTGGAAAATAGGTAGGGGTGACACCCTCTACGGCAAGTTGACCAATTCGAGTACATTTGGCACGAGCAAAAATTCTTCCGGCAGGGGCGATTTCATTGGAAACCGGACTACAGCCTTGCATTCGGCTATTGATGCGCCGACAAGCCACCATTTCTTCGGCAGTGACTACTTCTTCGGCTAAATCGCAAGGATCTTCCCCATATTCCCCGGGTTTCGCAGCAATCTGCCTCCGCCCGGACACGACTTCAACTCTAACATCGGCGCCGCCGCCGAGTAGCGTGTACCCCGCAATATATCACCGTGGTATTTGCAGCTTGAAATCCGAGGACTTTGCGTCATCGCAATCCAGATCAACAACAGAATTGCTATATTCGTGGCTCCTTCCGCGTATGTACATCTCGTGATGCGATTCAAACTTAGATTGAGTGTCTCGTCGGCTACCTATTTGGGCAGTCATTCCTTGTGCTCATCGGCGCGACTGAGCACTCGTGCCTGGCGGCTCGGCATTTAGTATAAGATGAGCAGATCGTACGTCCAAAACTCACCATTCAGCAAGTCCCAGTAACCAGGACCTACTCTGACCATGCGTCTAGTCACAACGCTCTTCTCTGCCTGCACCGCGGCTCTTCTAGCCAGTGCCAAGCCCGTCGAGATACGGGAACAAGCAGCACAAGCTGAACCATACGAGGGCTATGTCTTCGCGTACTTCACGAACAACACCAAAGCTGGCGAACAGATCTACCTAGCAGCAAGTAACGGCAACAATGCACTGAGCTGGAAAGAGTTGAACGATGGGCAGCCAATCATCACATCAACCAAGGGCACCAAAGGACTGCGTGATCCCTTCCTTATGCGCTCACATGACGGCGGCAAGTTCTTCCTCATCGCGACCGACCTGAGCATCGGGTCGGGCACATCGTGGGGAGACGCCGTTCGCAATGGTAGCTTGTACCTGGAGATCTGGGAGTCAACTGACCTCAAGAACTGGGGAACACAACGACACGTCAAGGTTTCACCTGACACTGCCGGCAACACATGGGCGCCCGAGGCTTACTACGACCCCACTATCGAGGCTTACGTTGTCTTCTGGGCTTCTTCGCTGTACGCAGAGAGCGATACCAGTCACACTGGAAGCACCTACCACAGGATGCTGTACGCCACCACGAAGGACTTTATCACCTTCAGTGACGCCCAGGTCTGGCAAGACGCCGGCATGTCGCGCATAGATTCGACGGTCATCCAGGAGGGCGACATTTTCTACCGCTTCACCAAGGACGAAGGCGCTTCCGGTACCGGTTGCTCGGACATCATCCAAGAACACTCAACCTCACTCCGCGCTACCTTGGAGTCATGGACGCAAGACGCCGCCTGCATCGGCAAGAACGCTGGTACCAGCGCTGTGGAAGGGCCCACAGTCTTCAAGTCCAACCCCGGCGACGTCAATGGCGACAAGTTCTACCTCTTCGTCGACGAATATACGGGCCGCGGCTATATCCCGCTCGAAACCGCCGATATCTCAAAGCCCAGCTGGAAAGTCTCAGCCGCATACACGCTACCCAAGAGTCCGCGCCACGGCACCGTCCTTCCCGTCACCGCAGCCGAGCATGCGTCCCTGACTACTGCAACATCTGCCGCACCTAAGCGCTTGCGTAGCGCTCCCAAGCTGCAAGCCAGAGACTCCCCCGTCCTGCCAGGCTTCTACGCAGACCCGAACATCGCTGTGTTCGGAAACAAGTACTACATCTACGCGACCACCGACGGCACACCCGGCTGGGCCGGCAACACCTTCTACGCATGGTCCTCTCCCGACCTCGTCTCCTGGACGCGCCCCAAGTCTCCGTTCCTGACGCTCAACGGCACCTCGGGCAACGTGCCCTGGGCGGTCGGAAACGCATGGGCGCCGACCATCATCGAGCGTGCGGGCAAGTACTACTTCTACTTCAGCGGCCAAAACGCACAGTACAACACCAAGACAATCGGTGCGGCTGTCGCCAACAGCCCCGAGGGGCCGTTCGTCGCACAGGCGCAAGCGTTTATCCTGAACAACGAGGCGCTGAAGACAGGCCAGGCAATCGATCCCGCAGCCTTCCAGGACCCCACCACGGGCAAGTACTATCTGTTCTGGGGCAACGGGACTCCGCTGTACGCCGAGTTCAAGGACGACATGCTGTCGCTGAAGAATGACACGCTCAAGGCCATCTCCGGCCTGACCGACTTCCGCGAGGGCATCTTCATGAACTACCGCAAGGGCACGTTCCACCTGACTTACTCGATCGACGACACGCGCTCGGAGAACTACCGCGTCGGCTACGCGACGTCGTCGTCCATTGACGGCCCGTGGACCGTCCACGGCGTCATCCTGCAGAAAGATGTCAGCCAGGGTATCCTCGCTACGGGGCACAGTAGCATCATTCAGGTTCCCGGGACGGATGATTGGTACATCGCGTACCACCGCTTCGCGATCCCGAACGGCAACGGCACTGACAGGGAGACGACTATCGATCGTGTGTTCTTTGATGATAACGGGTTGATCAAGCCTGTTGTGCCGACGTTGACGAGCGTTGCTCCGCAGACTGTGCCGCGCCACTAGATAGTCTGTGGTCTTGTGCCGCAGCGTGTAATTATGAGTTGTTGAATGAGATTTTTTTCTTCTCACAAGAGATATTCCAAAGCACTATCCAGCTCGAGTCTCCAAATCCTATCCTGCAGTCGTCCATCCATCACACCCCTACCCTCTCCAAATGCCCTGTTTCGACAATGCTAAACAGGCCGGGCGAGCTGACGTGACGAACGTGATGGTAATAGCACGAGCCGAATGCTCTATTCCTTCTTCATTCTCCCAGTAGAAGTTAGACTGTCCAGCATTGAAGGAGTAGGTCGACCTTGCATCAACAACCAGGCTTACTAACTGTAAGAAATACTATTCCCCCCAAGCTGTTTAGATCGGCGCAAACATCACACAATTTTTTATTCATACCACCATACTAATAGCACAAAACGACCTCCCCGGGATGTGAATCGGGAATCCCCACATCTTGAGCCGCGGAGGACACACCGGCGCGATGGCCCTCGAGCCTCAGCATGCGTGCGGTGCGCTGTCGTTGCGCTGTCGGTTCTGGTTTGCTTGAGGGATGGGAGCTGTGCTGGTCTGGAAGTATATGTGAGCAACGATCGGGAGGCGAGCGATTGGTGAGTGGTATAGCTGCTTTTTGGGTACACTGAGAGGCTGCACGGGCTCGCATACCCCTCGCGCATGGTCGCCACCGATGGATGTTAAGATTATGAGTAGTAACCAACGCCCATTCACCTCTTTGTCGCGTGGCTGCCATGTTTGTGGTGAGATGAGGCGTTTGTGGGGTGCCTTGTGCGCTCCTGCCTGCCACGAACGGTGAATGCCATTTGAGCAAGCTTGAGGCTGCACCGGCTTCTCTTAGCTCGCGACTTCTATTCCTTTCGCTGTCCTTGCTATCGCCTTCTGCAGGCAATGGGTGGTTTTACTGGCAACTCTGCCCACGACTATCTTTGATCCATGTTGCGCGCGCGCACACCCGTTCCACTCCTGCCACAACGCGTTTACATCCAAACATACGTCAACGTTATATCTGAGAAGCAACAGCCACAATGCTAGCAGCGACTAGCACCGAGATATTTCGCCAGCCCAGCAAGCATGACACGGCGAAGAAGTGGCTGCACAGGCGGCTCTGGAAGCCAGCGTCGCGCCAACTACTGAGGACTGACAACGACGGTGGACTCAGGAGGAAGCTCTCGCTCAAGCGGCCGCAGACAGCGCCGACAAGCGGCAGAGTGACGCCGGAGGTGATAGCCCCGGTGCCGCAGATACCCATCAACATGGAGCTACCTTCGCCGCGACTTGTACTACATGCTCCACCTCGTCCGCCACGGCCAGACTCAGGCGTGATGCGAGATGTCAATGCGTGGCTGGATGCCAGCATGAGCTCACCGCCTCCCCCATTGATGGGCGGTCTACCGTACTGGCGATCGGCGTCTGCAGTCCCTGCGACATACTCCACGGGCATGCAGTATGCGATTCCGATCGTGCGGGAGCCTGGTACTAGCCGACCCATGACGCCTTCCGGGCAGCAGGTGAAGCTATACTGTCGCCGCGGCGCAAAGAAAGTGCAGGCCAAGATGCCCTCGCTCTTGCGCACCGCTTCGCAGCGCATCGTAGCCCGCAAGCAAATCAATCGTCGCTCCAACTCGATGCCACTGTTTGCCATCCCATACGAGCAGACACAGCAAGGACCGCCGCCAAAGATGCTCACCCGGTCGAGGTCCTTTCTCCTGTCTTCAGCGCGAAGGTCGTTGTCGAAGTGTCCAGCTGAAGAGCAGGGGTTGCTTGATCACGGCTCGTTCGACCTTCCGGTCCTCGGCAGCACGCGAACGAGCATCGCATACAGCGGGCTCGAGAGGTCCGGGGAGCGGCACATGCACGGGTTGCTGGGACATGGTACCAAGAGCGGCTCTCGCACGCGGCCGTCGACAGCTGGCGGACGCCTCGGACGAGACGAGTCTCTGGGGGACCTGTCGCTGTCGGAAGCACCGACGTACTCGTCCGGACGGCCTCCGCCATCGTACCGCTCGCGCACTGCCTCGATAATGACGACGTCCTCTTTCGGCTGTGTCGATGGGATGGGCCCAGCGCAGAGGCAGATCAGCCAGCAGCGCGCGGGCGTAAGGAGTCGCGGAGTGAGAGGCAGGGTGAGGGAGCTGCGAAAGAGGTTTCAGAACGAGTAGAAGACGAGCAGCGACTGGCAGACTCGGAAACTACGTCACAGCTTACGAGACACGGTATGGAGCTGCAGAGATTTACTACGAGAGCATAGTTAGATGGGTGGAAGGAAGCGATGGCGGGGAGGATGTGCAGACATATTCTAGGCGGCGAGAAGCAGACGACAAGCCATATACTTTCGCAGATAGCATAGCAAATACAGGGTTCTTAGACAGGTTTTCTAAGACAAGTGTTCTCAGACAAGTTTTGTTGGACAAGTTTTCTTGGACAAGTTTTCTTGGACAAGTTTTCTTGGACAAGTCTTCTTGGACAAGTCTTCTTGGACAAGTTTTCTAAGACAAGTTTTCTTGGACAAGTGTTCTCAGACAAGTGTTCTCAGACAAGTGTTCTCAGACAAGTTTCTCGTTGATGGTGATGATGACGACGATGATGATGAAGACGCGGAGTTGTGGTGAAGGTGGCGCGGGTTCGGTCTGAGTGACGTTCGGCGGGCTCACGGCGGCCGGCCGAAAGTAGCTACGGGTGGAATTAGACAATTGGGACGCCCGTGCTACAACATCCCAACATCCAACACGCAACAGCCGCATTGGACCAACGTGGCACACGCTGTACCACGCGCTCTGGACCAATAGCAGCCATCGAGGCAAGCGATTACATGGAGAGCCCGCCGTGAGTGCCGACCGCTCTGACGCACTGCCTGCACGCGTCCCCACGATTCCCGGCAGCGCTCGACAATAGTAGCAACGGCAGCAGCAGCAGTAGAAACATCAGCAGCAGCAGCAGCACACCAACAGCAGCAAAACCCACAGCCGAGAGACGCGTTCAATGGCAGAACCCGGCACGGCGTCGCCTGAGCAGGCCGGGTCGTCGCGGGCGAAGCGACCAGCGCCCATGACGCGGCAGAGCAGCAGCCAGTCGCACATTTCGCAGAGCCCATCGGAGAAAGGGCACCACCGGCCGCAGCAGCACAAGGTCGTGCATCGCCACGTCGCAGGCGGACGCATGCAGCGAACGGCGTCGACGGGCAAGAATCTGGGCAAGGCGGGCAAAGCCACGCAGCACACGCACACGCAGGCGCAGGCACAGGGCCAGGCGGCCGACGAGGGCGGGCGACACCACCGCCGCTCGCAGTCGGGCACGTCGCTGTCGGTGCCCAGCAGCCCACGGCCGGGCTTCAAGCGCAATGCCTCGTCGGGCGCCATCATGCGGCACAACCCAAGCGCCCACGCCCACGCCGGCCTGCGCAAGAACCACAGCAGCGGCCACCTGGTCGGCAAGGCCAAGGGCGGCAAGTCATCCAAGGACCTCGCCCCGGCCAAGGGCAAGCTGGGCAATCCGTCGCGGTCGCGCCAGGTGTCGCCCGAGGAGCGGCCCATTGTGCACTTTGACGTCGGCAACGACGACGACGACGGCGACGACGACGACGAGGAGGGTGGCTGGACCGAGGAGAGCGCCAGCCAGTCGCCCAACACGACGCGCTCCAACACGCGCTCGAGCTCTGTGGCCGCAGAGGCCCAGCGCGTCGTCGACGATGCGACCGAGAGCAATACGCGCGCCAACGCCGGCGACGCACTCGCAGAGCAGACCGACGCACCCACGCCCGCACCCGCAGGCGCAAACGCTACCTATACGCTGCCTGAGCGCGTCCGCCCGCCCACGCAGACACCCAGGGCCGCCTCGTCGCACCACTCGCGCCAGCCCGACGCCGACCTCATCACCTCGCGCCTCCTCCAGCGCAGCGCCTCGCACACGGTCGTCGCCCCGCAGCCGTCGTCGGTCTCGGCGACGGTCCAGCACGGCGGCCACCAGCACAGCGGCCACCAGCTCGGCACCTCGGTCGGCAGCGCCTCGGTCGGCAGCACGCTCGTCGACACGCCCGGCCGCGACCTCGTCTCGCGGTTCATGGACGGCGACGGCAGCGCCGGCACGCCCTACGACGGCAGCTACATGGCCGGCCGCCGTGCCTCGCGGACCGACGGCGGGCCGACCAAGTCGCCGCCCAACGTCGCCGAGCACGACGAGGCCGCCGACACGCCGACGCGCCCGCACTCGCTCCGCTCCGGCGCCACCACCCCGAACCTCTTTCCCTCGGCCCCGAACCGCACCCAGAACAAGCTCCTCCTCCAGCGCGCCGCCAGCGCCATCGAGCCCCACGCGCCCGTCCCCGCCATCCTGCGCTCCGCCGGCCCCTCGTTCCACAACATCGGCCTGTCGTACCCCGGCGAGGGCCGCCTCGATCCGCGCCTACAGCAGCAATTCAACCACGTCGCCATCGAGTACAGCGTCGTGCAGCGGTATAGAAACCCGCTCGCTGACAGCATCCTCCGCCTCCAGCAGATACCGGGCATGCTGCGCAAGCTGCGGGCCAGCAAGCCGGGCAGCGCGCACGGTGGCAGCGCGCTGGGCACTACGACGCTGAGCAGCAGCATCCATGAGAACGGGGACATGGACGGCGCGGGGTCGCGGCGCAGCAGGGCGGGCTCCGCGGGCGGTGCCGACGAGACGCCGCGTAACGAGGCACAGGAGCTGTGTCGCAGCATGTGGGACAGTGCGCAGATTACGCGCGGCGACTGAGGTGTTCGCGAGGACGACACGCTCTCCTCACCATGCACACACATGCGACGCGCACACTTGCCGAGAAGCCTGACTGCGCAACCATCACCCGGCACCCACCCGCCCATTCTTCCCACGCTCGACAGCGAGCGACCCGCCATGTGCGAGTATTCTTCACCACCGTGCGCTTGCACAACACACCCGGTCCCCAAGGCAAGGAAGAAAGGACCAGGCAGAGCGGTGATACGTAGAGCCCTGGCAGTGTCTCGGGCAGGGCAGGGAGGAGTAGGGATCGTAGATGATACTACCAAGTGGACGGCAATGCAATGCAATCATTCCACCTTGCTTTGGCGCCGTCGCGTGCTGCTGCGTGCGTGCGTGCGAGTGGGTCCTAGACGTGCTCTGCTGCCCTGCGCGGCGACTTCTCCATCCTGTGAGGGCCAAGGTCCTCTTCGCCCGTTGAAGGCCTATGATGGAGGATGCGGTTGCGCTGGCGGCGGTGTTGGACCGTGCGCCAATCACCGCACTGCAGTCGAAGCGAGCATGCAGGTTCCTGCTGAGACCCTCACACTCTCAGACTCGACTCCACAGCAACGCAGATTCTGCAAACGCTTTTGCAGGATCCGACTCGGCGGCCTTTTCTGTTCCTGCCTACCACTGTGCGCGTTCCGTTCTCGCCGGCTCTGGGAAACTTGGACGACGACTTCACGGCGAGCGGCTAGCCAATCAGCGCGCAATCGCAAAGCTGTCCCAGATCGTCTGCCTTGCTGGGCGTTGACGTGGTTTCCGGGGCGTTTACGTGTTTTTTGAGGCGTTGACGTGTTTTTCGCGGCGCTGCAAGGGCTTCAGGCCTCACATGGCGGTCAGCCTCGAGCAACGTACAGAGTACACATCAGTCACGACCTTGCAGAGCCGGTGAGCTCGCCATGTGTTCCTCACCGGAGCCCTCTGGCCCACTGCGCACGTTGCCGGACGGCGGATGTGCTACTGCGGAGACTTCACGGCTAAGGGCCTTAAGTCAACAACGACTCCGCCGGCCAATCGCACAGCGAGCGCAAAGTCTAGCGCATGTGCGTTGGACGGCCAGCACTCTTCCGCTGCCTCGGCCATGTTGGGCAGACTGCGCAATGTTGAGATTCGTGGTCTGGAACATGGTATGGTGTAAGACCGCAGTGTACCTTGGTACTGCTGGAGTACGTACTCAATACTCTTGGTACCAGCGATGCAATGCTCTTGCGTGCCAAGTCCCGACGTGCATTGCCGCAAAGGCAGCGCAACATCAGGGTTCATTCGATGAAGTTGTTATGACGCTGCTCCAGGGTCTGCCGGTCTGGCCAGCCTCGACGAAAAGCAGCGCACGTCTGGAAAAGCAGCGGGGTCGGCCAGTCTACCGCGAGCTACCTTGTAGGCTGGTGTGGGGTCTCGACGGCTCAACGTTAGTCGCCGAGCCAACCTCACCGAGCCCTTGCATGATTCTACCCTGCCTCGACGAAGTGGTTGAGGAAGTTCGGGCAGACAATTGGGAGCCTCCTGCGCCGTCGAGATTACAAGATGAATGTTGGAAGGCCAACCGGCGTACCTGAGTGGCTGAGACACAGAGCACGACACGAGCGAGGCACCACGTTGGTAGCCGCTCTGGGTCTCAGGCACCGCCGCTGATTGGCCGCCCTTGTGTCGTGGCCGCGGCTGTACCTGCGCATCTAAAAGTGTAGCCAGGCACCGCGACGGACAGCGTTGCACGATGCCACGTCGAGCGAGAATCGCTGGCTTCGGTCGCAGTCCCACGATGTTGACGAGCCGCCGTGTCTGAGGCCACCAGGTCACGATTCGCGCAACCGTGTTTCAGCGCCTGAGCACAAATGTCATGGTGCAACGGTTGGGGTGAGAGCTGGGGTCGACCGTGGGAGCGTTGATGAGCGCCCAGGATGGAACAGCGTTGGTGAGGAGACGACTGCGCGCATTCCAGCGTTGGCCTGGCCACTGCCCAGAATGCGCGCGAGATGAGGTCACGCCGCCGTATTTTCCGTGGACGCACGCAAGACCAGCGCAAGGTTGGGCCGGGAAGATTCCAGCGTGCAGCGTGCAGCGTGCAGAGGATTTGCCGTGCGCCCGGCAACCCGCAGCGATCGGATAGGCTAGGCCAGGTTGGCTGGCTTTTTGTCAGGCACAGCCGCTGTTTGCTTGGCCTGCCCGCGCCATCCTTGTCTGCGTTAGCGTGCGCCGCTGTGTGAAATGATGCGTGAAATGAGTTTTGGCGCAGGCGGCTCGTAATTTCCCTTAACTTCAGCGCGCCTTCCTCGCACCTTCGTTTTACTCCAAACGCCTACACTCTCTCAAACACAATACACTTCGCCGTCAGGCTGTGCCTTGTACCACGCTCATTGCTAGCACAAACACCGTCATTACGACTATAACATCACTGCTGCCGCATCGCCTTTTGCGCAACATCACCACCAACTAAGACACCATACACCGTCCACGAGACCTGTCTCACAACATCACTTTCATCTAAAAGCATTCCGTCGCAACCACTATCAGCACCGAACCAATTCCAATTATCACCAAATCACCACCAAATCACCGCCATATCAATCACCATGCGTTCCTTCCAGGCCGTCATTGTCTTCCTCTTCGCGCTCGTCGCCAGCGTCTTCGCTGCTGAGGCCGAGTTTTACGACGCTACCGTCTACATCACGTCGACCGTCTACCGCGTCAACACGGTCACCATGTCTGGCTCCCCCTCCGGCTCTGTCGCCAACCAGACCAGCACCATCTCTGCCCCCAGCTACGCCGCCCCCTCTGTCACTGCCTCCGCTGCCACTGCCTCCGCTGTTACTGTCTCCTACGGCACCAGCAACGGCACTGCCGTTGTCAAGCCCACTGGCAGCGCAACCCAGTCCGGCTCCACTCCCGAGTTCACTGGCGCCGCATCCAGCCTGAGCGTCAACGCGCTCGTCGTTGCGCTCGTCGCTGGTGCCTCCTACCTCGCCCTGTGAGACGCATCTCTGCATTGCTAACCACCACTTGGTCGCCTACACTCCAAGTGCTGGCCAGGCAACGCCGAGTGCTTTCATGCTTCATGACATTCTCTTCTTCCCGATGCGCAACTTTCCTCTTCACTTCGCTTCCGTTGCACACACGTTCCCAACTGGGCCCGCTACTACCGCCATTGTAATCACCTCATTTGTTTGAAACGACTGACGACGATTCATGGTTCTTTGTCGAGGCCTATATATACTTTTCTTTCACACAATCAGGACCTTGGTCCGAGACCCCTACTTCCCCTTCACAACAATCAAAGACCTTGGTCTGCGAACCCTTGGTCTGACGACCACCCCTTGTTACGCGCGCAACGAAGACGAGTTCCTCGCAGACACGAAGGCGACGACAACGCCCTGCTTGCAGGCGCCTCCTTCGCTTCAGGCAGTCTGTCTGACTGACCGCGCTTTTTCTCTGGTGGAGCTGGAGTTTGGTGATACCCCTTTGGACGGAATACCCCTTTGCTCTCCAGTATCTACTGGATTGCATTTTGTTTTACGGTGGCTTTTTGGTTGGCGGATGGCAAGATACACGATCGAATAGCAAGCGCCGTAGGTACCTACTTGGCGCGACAAGCCTTGATTCGATGGCGATGAAATGAACAATCCGCAATAACTTCCTTTCGCATCCTGCCGTGAACCGTGCCCAGTAGCAAATCCCCACCAGGCAGCGCAAATCCCCACCAGGCAGCGCAAATCCCCGCCAAGCAGCGCAAAATCTCACGATCCTAGATGCGCGCTTACTTTTGTTGCCACGCAGCGAATCGCCCACCCCAGGGCGCTGCACACCTTCCGCATACAGAGCACCTCATTTCCCACGAGGCGTGTGATTCCCCTCGAGCCTCACACTGCCCAAAGCACTCTTGCACATCATTGGAAGGCGCCCACAGGCCCTCAGCGTCACAGACTTCAAGCCCACAGACCACAGCTTAACCTCGTCCGCGCTGATGTTGGGTACCCGGGTTGCGTCACCATCACTCGCGCGCACACGAGGTGCCCAGCAGCGAAGAATCCCCTCCTGGCCCGCAACGCACAAAGCCCTCGTATTTCGTGTCTCGTGCGTCGTATGTGGTGTGTGGTGTGTGGTGTGTGGTGTGTCGTGTCTCGCCCTCTACCTGCACAGCTCGTGTCGTGTCGTGTCGTGTGTCGTGTCATCCAAATCCACCACCTCTCTCCATCCCCACCCAGCAAGTACACACCCAGGAACCCAAATACCCACTGTTCTCTCTCCGCGCCGCGCACTCACTCGGCCCGAGAAGACCCCGCGCGCGTTCAGTCGGGACTGGAGAGCACCACGTGCCTACTGCTAGGTGCTAGGTGGGCAGGTAGGGAGGGTAGGTGCGCATCAGACCGAGCGTTCTCTCTTCCCCCATGCGCCGGCATCGGCCGAGTACGAGGTGCAGCAGGGACTGCGACAGGCGCGTCGATGGGCTTGTGAACGGAGGGCTGGCTTGGAGTCCGTGGGCGTGCGTTGTAGGTGTGTGCATCGACTCAGTGCGGCTCTGGATGGATGGATGGGTGCGGAATCGAGACGCCGACGACCGTGGGCCGAGTAAAGTGCGCATGTCGCTGTGCAGTGCAGAGCAGGTGGTGGGTCGTTGGCACGAGGGGGAGGGTGGAGGTGTAGGTGCAACGTGTGGCCTTTGAACGCGTTTCCTGCGCTGCTGGAGTGCTCGAAAGCGACGTATTTTGATGCATTGACAGTACAGTGTAGTATAGTGTGGTGTAGTGTGGTGTAGTATGGTGTAGTGTGGTGTAGTATGGTGTAGTGTGGTGTAGTGTGGTGTAGTGTGGTGTAGTGTGGTGTAGTGTGGTGTAGTGTGGTGTAGTGTGGTGTAGTGTGGTGTAGTGTGGTGTAGTGTGGTGTAGTGTGGTGTAGTGTGGTGTAGTTTGGTGTAGTGTGGTGTAGTGTGGTGTAGTATGGCGTAGTATGGTGTAGTGTAGTACAGTATGGTGTAGTGAAGTACAGTATAATATAGTATGGTATAGTATGGTATAGTATGGTATAGTATGGTATAGTATGGTATAGTACAGTATAGTACAGTATACCCTTATGTAGACATCGCCAGCACAGCCTAATACAGACATCCCATAGCCACGCCACACAATTCCTCCCTTGCAAACCAAACACTCCGCCGCCTTACAAAGGAAAAGCACACTCACGTGCACCCTGAACTGAACTATGCAGACAGGCAGCCATACCGAGTGCAACGAAGAGTCTACGGAACGCAGCCGCCGAGGCCCGGGTATAATGGTCAAGAAAGCTGAGAAAGCTAGACAACAGGAGGGAAATAGAAATTAGATGGTATGGGTATAGATGTAAATGTAAGTGTAGATGGAAGAGTAGGATGCAAATGTAAGTGTAGATGGAAGAGTAGGATGCAAATGTAAGTGTAGATGGAAGAGTAGCATGTAAATGTAAGTGTAGATGGAAGAGTAGATGGAACAGGAGATGTCAGTAGATGTAGATGCGGATGTGCATGTCTCGACCGGAGGCGCTCTATGCTGCCAACGGTGTAGTGGGATGGGATGGTAGTGTAATGCCGACAAGAGCGGGTATATGGGTATCCAAAAGGCGAGAGTAGAGACTCGGACGCAAGGTAGGCAAGGAAAGGTGTTTTGCGGGTATAACTGCGCCGGCCGCGTCGGAGCGTGTACGCTTGGCGAGGCGCGGATGGCCGTTGATGTCGAGGGTGAGTGTTTGGCAATGGGTGGGTGGTAAGTGTTGATTGTTTGGTGGTGCGTTGATTGTTTGGTGGTGTGTTGATTGTTTGGTGGGGCGTGTTGATTGTTTGGTGGTGTGTTGATTGTTTGGTGGGGCGTGTTGATTGTTTGGTGGTG